GTGGGCTGGGTCCACCTTATCCTCTGTGTCCTGAACATTTATAAGACCGCTGGCATCTATGGCCCAGGATCCCTCTTCAAAGAGGGGCCTGAAGACCCAGCCCATGAGCTGTCACACAGCTAGGGAGTAATGCACTCTTAGGAACTTGAAACCCAGGTCTGTGTCCTGCACCCAGAGCAGGCCACCCACGTGTCTCACATTTCTCTTTATTTTACTATAGAAAAAGAGCACTCATCTTTTAGTTTTTCCCAAACTTGAGCTCTAGGTCTATCTTTTCAAAAGGAATCATAACATGATAATCATTGTTTGACTTAAAAAGCAAAGAGGATTAAGAACTCATTATTTGACCTGTGGTTGTTTAGGCTGGGGCATGGCAGGGCTGCTAAGAGCTGGCTACCACTGGGCCAACCACTGGCACAGGAAGAGGGATAACCAAGAGGGCCCAGCTGTGGGCAAGAGTTCTCCCAGTGACAAAAGACACCAACTCTGTAAGATCCAGTGAGATGATCAATGGCTACTGACTTCTTTAAGGAAAGTGAAACAAACTTACCTTGAAAATTTACTGGGCCCTTCACCATCTTCATCATCGAAGTCCATTCTGAAAAGTCAAGGTCACAGGTGAGCACTGGTTCTGGGCAGACAGAACACTGGGAATCAGAGGAGCTCTGTTCCACCTGACTGCTGTCCAAGGCGCCCAACTTTTGTTGCTAAATGCAGTAACTCACTCTATAGTCACCACTCAGCTTCAAGACAGGAAAAGTCTTCAGCGTGAGTTCAAGTAGTTGCATGGTTATGCTATCCAGCACCTTGTCGCCAGAACCCTACACAGGCCACCAATATATTGCTGGGGGTGCCTATTGGAGAGGTGAGTGCTCTTTCTCCTACCATCTTTGGGGAAACCTGCCACCCTCCACATTTATTCTACATTGAGGCTTTCTTTCCTATATCTTATTTTTATGATCCTTAAAAGACTAAAAAAGCTTAAGGGGTTTTGAAAACCGGAAGATTTAAGGGTGATGAACAGATAGTAAGGAAAAGCAAACATTCTAGTGGTTGCGCTTGTGCTGGGGGAAACTGGGCAGGTCTTGAGTCTTGGTGAAAAGGACATTTAATGTAATTGACCTATAAAATCCATGACCAAACTAATAGGGCAACATGGCTGTCCCCCAAGTCACTCAAGTTGGTCATCTGCTTGTTAAAGCTCACCAAATGATTACTCAGCTTTTCATTTTACTGGGCCTTTCTATATAAACATTAAACAAGGTCTTGATGGAGACTTGTTTAACAATCCAAACTCTGCTTCTCAAAAGCACTAACCCTCTCTAATATCACCTAATAGTACCCCTGAAGGTTTCAGGGCAGAGAGGGGACTTCACTGGCATCAAATGAGTCCAGAGTCTTTGGGGGAAGAAAATGAGAAGAAGACAGCTGCTTTGGTTCTCTGGAATATCCAGGGTGTGGGGGTTCCCGATGGACTACGTGGGGACCAATCCCAAGGGATCCAAGCCAGAAGGACTCTGTTCTGCCTGCTGAGAAACACCCAGTGTGAACAGCTCATCCTAAGATCAGAAAGCCCCCCACTACACACAGCTCTGATGTCGGGTGGGCCCATGCTCCAGACATAAGGGCGGGACTTCAGTGGCTAAAAGTGATTTGGGGAAGGCACTATCACCCAGGCCAGCAGGAAACGGGCAGGTGGCAGAGGAGGAGCCCTCTACTCCGTGGAGGCCCCTGATGAGACAAACCATATGCACCAGACTTTAGGGTAACCTGGGGGACTTCGGGACTGAGACCAGGTAAGGCAAAAGAAAATTTTCCTTTTAAAAACAGTATTTTTTGCTTTGTCTGTGTCTTGTTAAATGTGCATTGCAGCCAGAGTTCTAATCCGGGCACGAATTTTTTCAGCCCCACTTGATGGAACCCTGCCAACTTGGGCCCACGGTTCCGGACAGGGGTGCGGTCCTAAGTGCTAAGAATAACAAAAGAAGTCAGATAATTGGAAAAGATGACTGTAATGATAACAGAAATACCTCTGCGCAAAGTGGGGTGGGCCAGAAAAGGAGAGGGAAAGGGATGAACAAGCAAAGCCCATCTCCCACCACCGGACATGCATCCCACCTTGAAACCTGGGAGCCAGGCTTTAGGCGCTGGCCGCAGAGTTTTCTGTGTTGCAGACAAGTGGGGGATGAGTGCATGAATTTTTAAATGAAGAAAATCTATAAATATTTTGCATAATTACCAAGCCTTTACCCGACCTTCCTGGAAATGACATCTGGGAGTTAACCACCGAAAACACTAACCAAATCCATGGGCGTTCTGCAGCACCACAGAGTCACACTGCCACCCAGTGTTCACAATGGGGAAGAGCAGTAATGCTGCCCGCTTCAAAACATCTGTGTTAAAAAGCAGCACGGGGAAAATTCCAAAGAGCTCGAGCAAGTATTTAACAAGCCTCTGATGGGAATGCGCCATGCAGTTATCTTTAAAGTCCCTTTCGGCTCAGGATGACAGTGACTGTGATCATCAGGCTCCTGTAACCCTCCCTTGTCAGCTTGCACATCCTTGGGATGTTTAGGGTTACCGACTGTCCCTGTTTTCTGAAGACTGAAGTGATTCAGGACTTCCACGCTAAAGCTGAGAGACCTGAGTAAACCAGGGCAGCTGGTCACCTCATTTTAGCAGAGACATATGGGGAAATGTGCTGTACGTAGGGGTCTTAGCGGGATAGACCCAGGAAGTCTGAAGTCCATCAAGAACCTGGAAACCAGGATTTGTCTATGAAAATTAGGAACCCGGATCTGTGTCGCCCCTGTGCATGTGTGAAACTCCATGTGTGCAGTGTCGGATTTAGTACGTGGAAAAGCACAACGTAGGAACCAAGCTAGAAGTTAAATCAGCACCCACGTGATCGTCAAATCCTCAGGAAAGCTCACTCCACCCCAAGATAGTCTCACTGGGTCATATGCAACACAGACAAAAAAAATGCAGCCAAGGTGGGATGACACACACCTGTAATCCCAGCATTCAGGAAGTGAAGGCAGGAGGACTGCAACTTTGAGCCGAGCTTGGGCCATTTGGTGACTCAGTGAGGCTCTGTCGCAAATGAAAAAATTAAATGGCCCAAGGATGTAGCTCAGTGTGAAGGCCCTGAGTAACAGATGTTGCAGAGGGGTGCGGGGTTACAAGTCCAAGGACACAAAGTATCACTCAGAGCAATACTTGCCAAGACACCACCTATGGGTCTCTGTCACCATACCCAACTCTATTTTTTTTTTCCTCATTGAGTTTATTGGTACAGTCTAGGTATACAGTACAGTTACATTCATTATTGGGATCTTGTACCTTCACATGATAGGTCTTGGTTCTCATTTTTCCCCCTTGTTCCTGCCCTCCCTTCACCCCCTGCTTCCCTCCCCATTTACATTTTATTTCCATTTTTTCATTTTCTCCTTTTTTTTCTTTTCCCTTATTACCTTTCCCCTACCCTTCCCACTTTCCCTACACCTTTAGCCCTTTTCTTCCTATTTCACACTGTCAATTCCCAACTCTATTTTAAATATGCCTACAATAAGCTATGCTTATTTCTTCTGCTATAAAAAGCATAAGTAAATCATCCTTTGCTTTATGTCTTGTATGTGTCTTTACTATACTGAAGCATCTGGATAATAAAGGAGAAATGAAAATGTGACTCCCAGCCCTACTGTATTCACATTAAAGAACCCAGGACAGCGAGCAGGCGACATAAGAGGATTTACAAGGTGAGCAGGATACCCAACCTCAATGTCCTGTTGCAGCACTACTGGGGCTCACAATGGACAGGACAGGCATTTCTGAGCACGCTGACAGTTACACCTGAGAGATGCCAATCTCCCAGTACCATCACTACTGCTTCCCCTGACCCTAGAGATGTGGATGCCTCACTGGCATCAGGAAAGCGACAGGACAGTGCACCCCAGTGACTTGCTGCAGCCTGTTCCTCCTCACAAGGAATCATGCTGGGAAGCATCGGAGCCCTCAGAACCCACCTGTCCAGGCACCAGGAGAGGCCACAGCTCTCTGGGACACTTACAGAGGAGGCCAGCAGGGCACATAAAGGATCTCAGTTCTGGGCCAGGGGCAGCCGGGGGATCCAAAGTCCTAGAGGGCCAGTTCTACCTGGCTTTAAAACACCACGGCAGGGTGGGTGATTGTCCTGAAAACTTGAGCCATCTCTCTGCCAGACAACCAAGCGCTGAGAGCGGAGCCCCAGCAAGGAGTTCGGTAGGGTGGGGGGAAGGTCGTTGTTTATGGCACTCCTCTCTCCCTGTGTCTCCCCTAGTGTACCCCACGATCTTGGGAGGAGGGGTTGGGGTCCACCATGCCGATGGATGACAGGGACAGCAGAGGGTGCGGGCCCCAGTGCAGGGTTATCTGCCTTTTGATGACTATGGCCCCCACTTGGGTCTCCTGTGCTCTGAGCTAAGTGTTCAGGAAGCAGCTGAGATTGCTACCAACGGTCTCCACCACAGCAATGGTGAACCTGATTGTAAAATTCCGGCAAAACTTATAAATATGTCAGATGCAAGAATTACTATGGAAACAGCTCTGTAAAAGCAGAAGTTCCCATGTTTAGACGCAGGATGCATCCCTAAATCACGCAGGCTTAGCAAACAGAGCCTTGGTTAACCTTCTCCTCCTTCATCCGCCTGGGAGAGGGTGCAACCCAGGCTGAGGACAGGGAGAACAGGCCCCCAGGGGTCAAGGTCAAAGGCACCATGCTGGTTCTCCCCCTGGATGCTGTGGCAGCAGGAGCTCCCATTCCCCTCTGTCTCTCACTTCTGTTGATGTTTTGCCTTCTTGCTCCAAGTAAAAACTGAATGCTGAGCTCTGCCTCAGCTTCTCTCTGCAAGGTCTTGTGCTGTGCACAGACCGACCCGTAGGGGAAAGGGCAGCACATGAGAGCGCATAACGCTTACAATAATTTTATAAACCCAAAATTCTAAAATCTCATGTTCGGATACCACATCACACATTCTTTGAACATCCCAGACCCTGCTGAGCTTAGCACTTAGCAAGAATAGCTGGTTAAAATGGGAAATGTGCTTTGCTGTGAGCCTCAAAGGCAAGCTACGGCTTTTACTACTGCTGAGCTGAGGAGCGCCACCTGGGCACCAGCACGACTCACTTCAGCTCCGCTGGCCCCACCATGGGGAAGTGACGTCATGGACAGAGGTCAGCTGCATCAGCAGCGAGCCAGTGTGCTGGGTCAAGTCACACTGGCCAGATCAACAGACTCAGTTCTGCAGCCCTTCGAACCCTCTCAATGACCATGGAATCTCAGAGCCCCCTTCAAGGATGACACTGCACACATCAGTTGTTTATTTCCTAAAATCATGATGCTGGGTGGCTTTTGCATCCTCCCCTTCCTCTATCCGAAGTGCTGATGCTTACCTTTGCCCTGACTCTGTCCCATTTAAGAATCACACTGGTTTAAGACTCTCTCAAGCTAAAAATGCTGGACCACTGAAAAGTAGGCCCAGGGATATAGCTGGGTGGTAAAGCTTCTTCCCCATGCCCTGGGCCCTGCATGCCCCCCAGGGCTCAGCTGTGAGAAGAGTGTTCTGCTCTACCTGAACAGCTGCAGTCACAGGAGCTCTGTGTTATCAGAAATTGCATTAAGAGGGCAGTGATTCAACTGCACAAGAAACTATGTTTATCAAATATGCCATTAAAAATAAAATGGACTCAGTGGGGAACCAGGCTAGTGGTATATTGAATCTGAAAATGCCAGTTCTGCTTTTCCTGCAAAATTCTGGCTGTTTGTTTAGGTTATCCAGCAGTAGAGGCAGCTTTCCAACTGCCAGAGAGTGGCCCCTTCAGAACCAGCACAGGCAAGAGCACTCGTCAGCAGCTGTGGGAGTTAAGCAGCACCCTGCAACAGCCTGGCCTTCAGGTGCTTCAGCTTATTCTATGAAAAGTCAGGCACCCTCAGGAGGGAGGAGGCCCTGGGGTGGAGCCTTTCTAGCTCAGCGCTGGAACTCAGCTGCACAGCAGGCTTGAGTGCCCAGGGCCAGAGGTAAGTCTCTCCCCTCAGAGAGACACACAGAGAGCACACCTCAGAGACCAACAAACAGAAGTCTCAGCAAGGTACCAAGGACCCAACACTTAGATGAAAATCATGTGCCTATTTAGAAATATTGCAAAATCTAAACAGGATGCAAACTGCTGAGTCTATTCTGCAAGAGAGGGAAAAACAATATTTTCTTAGCAGGTCAAGAGCCTTGCACAACATTAACTAAGTACAATTCCTGGAAGTGGAGGCTGCTTACCCAGAACGCCGCTTTCCTCCTCGGGCAGGCATGGCCCCGGCCATCCTCACCTGTCCAGAGGCCGCCATGGGGGCAACAGGCAACGTCACTGATCCAGGTATGTCGGAAGCCATTTCTGGAAGTCAGCAAAGACAAGAGATTTTGTCAATGTCAGAAAAACCCAGAAACAAGGAAGCAAGCTGCCTTGGGGTCCTGGCAGCACTCCTTGGAGGGGAGCCCAAGGCCAGAGTAATGCAACTGCTCAGCTATCACCCAGCACAGGGCTCAGGTGGGTCCTTCCTCCCTCTCTGGGCACTGTTTTTCTTCTCCAGAAAGGATACTTCAGGGCAGAACTCCCGAATTTAATGCTTGAATTAGTGGTTAGAAAGAACTACTATAGCATGGCAGCTCTCCCCAGGGACTTCTGCCTCAGGGTCACTTGGAAGCAGGTAAGATGGTCAGGAACACAGGCAGCATGGAGAGTCCTCCGGGGAGCCGCCACTGGTGCCAATCACTAGCACCGCATCCCCAGGTATCACAGCCCTGCAGCAGCATTGCTGATGCTCTTCCCCGCCCAGACACTGTGCTCAAGGAAAAGGCCAGTCCCCAACCACAGTCTGGACTCAGAAGCCCTGCCTGGCTCCCCATGAACAAGGACAGTGACGTCTGGGGCTCTGAAAGCATCAGGCCAGGCAGCACAGTGAGTCAGGGACCACAAGGGGCCCAAGTACCTGGCTCTCCCTTGCCAAGATGACAAATACTAGAGAGGAAGAAGGTAGCATGGATGAGGGCATTTCCTGTTCATCCTGGTCAACAAGGAAGCTCCTTGAGGCCACGTAAAGCATCCTGGTTTCAAAGAAACCACACTATTAAAGACAGCATGGCACTGCAAGCCCAGGACACCAGCGGTGCAGCATGACGTTCGGCTCCCGCCCTTTCCTCCCAGCAGAGCCGGAGTCATGGGACAGCTGTCCATAGTGAGGTCCAAAGACACCACGTCTAATAAACACATCAAAGGTCAGCTTGAACTTTTCCACTCACAAGTCCTGAAAGAGTTTTCCAACACTAATAAACAAAACCCTAACTCAGCTTCTCTGCCATGTTCACAAGCTTCGAGAATGTTACCGTTTTGTTTTTAACCACTGCACACAATGAGAAATATTCAGTAAGTCACACATGTGTAAATACCGAATAGTTTCTCTGGTGTGAATAAACTGTAATAGCACATAAGATCCTAATGAGATAATTGACAATGTGAAATGGGAAGAAAAGGGCTAAAGGTGTAGGGAAAGTGGGAAGGGTAGGGGAAAGGTAATAAGGAAAAAGAAAAAAATATGAGAAAATGGAAATAAAGTGTTTGTTAATGGGGAAGGGAGGGCAGGGACAAGGGGGAAAAATGAGAACCAAGACCTGTCATGTAAAGGTACAAGATCCCAATGATGAATGTAACTGTACTGTATACCTAAAATGTACCAGAAACTCAAAAAAAAAGAGAATATTCAAGGAAAACCTGCCCCTTTGACCACCATTCTCTCCCCATAGGCAAGCACTGTGCTGAGCTCGTAACAGCTGGACAATAGGAACAGTGATCCAACAGCTTTACCATTTGCACGCTTCTGATAAGCGTTTATCTTTTTTTTTTTTTTTTCTGAAATGGAATGCTAAAACATATGAAGTCCCAGAGATAAAGGACACAATCACTGCCAGGACAAACAGGAGTAGAAACAAAAGTCACCATTTCCCAAAGGAATAGCAGTTCCTTAAGGTCCTTCAGGGAAAAGGGTTCCATGGGGTCAAACTCTGGAGTAAGGAAAAGGCTGTACTTAAGGCCTGTTTCTTGGAGAGACCAACCTCCATTAAAAATGTATCAAGAAGTCCTCTATAAAGAAATTTAATTCTGATTGACTCCATGTATATCAAAAATGTCTCTAACTGTGGAAACTTAAAATTTATTACCTGCTGAGCTAAAGTTCCATACAACATTGGTTGTTTTTTTGTTTGGTTTGTTTGTTTGTTTGTTTGTTTTGAGACAGGGTCTTGCTATGCAGTTCAGGCTGGCTCTGTACTATGTAGCACAGGTTGACTTGGAACTCGCAGCAACCCTGCCTCAGCCTCTCGAGTTGCTGGGAGTATAGGCCTATGACACCAAGACTGGCAGTTGTAGTATTTTTTAAGACAACTACTTCACCTTCACCTCTGAGTTAAGAAAATTTTAGACTAGAATTGATCTTGGCCATCATCCTAACACACAGAAAGGTTCATCCTTCTCTGTCCAATTATGCTCCGGCTCAGAGCTAGAAAGCAATGTGTATTGTGTGTTGAATTTTATTTTGGGGAACAAAAATGCCAATTGTTTTTTATACAAACTGTAGAAAGTAAATCTCCCCAAAACCTTGGCTGGCACTGCAAGGGAGAGGTGATACTGAGGATCCAATCCTTTCCTCAAACAAATGCAGAGGACAGGAGAAGAGAGGCCAGGTGACCACAGCTGGTGGGGGACAGGCCCACTCTGAGGTCACCTCTGCATCTCTCTGGCTGCTCCCTCTGTGTAATTTGTCCACTTGGCCAAAGAGCAGCTTCCTGAGAGCAGCCCATAGCCAGCCTCTTCTGACCCATCCCCTGCACATACCCCAGTGCCTTCCCAGCTGAGGACAAGGACCACGTGCAAGCTGACAGGTGGACACAGGAGTGCTTACCTTGGAGAGCTTTTACACCGCCTGAGACATAATGAGCTCAGAGAGAAGCACGGTGTTTGCACGTGATCTCATGTGCCATGAAGCCAGAGCTCTGGGATACAGGAAGGGGAGCAAATGAGCTAAATGCACAGATGATATCAGCTAATCTGAAAACGAGAGGCTTAGCAAAGCCCACCAGAGGCATGAAACGGTCACTATCAGAGGGATGGCAGGTCTCCGTGCCCACACCATCACACAGTACTTCCTGAGGTCTGGCTCGCTAATGTTTTGTTGCTTCTTTAATAAACTACATTACGGCTTGTGTTTAGCTGTCCTCCCAAAACCTCATGCTTTTTCAGAGGTGGCTGAATCTAGTATGTGACTGATTTAAGATGGGGCTAGGCCTGAGGGCACTAGGATTAAGGGCATGAGTGCTATCCGCCCTAAGTAGTCTGAATAAGATAAAAGGGGCAGAAAGAGGCTGTTAAGCTCTCTTGTTGCTTTGCTGCTGTCTGTCTGCCATGAACTGTTGCCACTCTGCCAGCCTGCCTTGGAGCCAGCTGACTATGAACTGAAACCTCTACGAACTGGAAGCCAAATAAACCTTTCCCCCTTTAACTTTAGGTGTCAGTATTTTGTCTCAGCAATAAGTAACTAACACACTACCTTTGTGGTGTTCTGCTCGCTCCTCTACTGAGATCCAGAGTACCTTTCCTGCCTAACTGTATGATTCTTACAGTAAATTAAAGCAGTGTCCTATTTTCCGAAAATATTTCCAATCTGTTGCTCATTTTTTGTGTTGGAAGATTTTGTTTTGTTTTGTGGTCCTGGGGATGTAAGCCAGGGTCTCATGAATGCCAGGCAAGTGTTCTACCACTGAGCGTGCCCCCAACCTTCAGGCTGATTTTTTTTTTAATACTAGAGAAAATTTTAAGAAGACAAGATCAATGGTCCCAATTCCATTTATTCAGGAATCTTTTTCCCTGTAAGTTTTTGATGCTCCCTCACTTCTTTATTTATACACAAAACATGTCTGTTTCTAGAATATCTATTTCTTTGTCAAATATCTTGTTATCTATCCTTGCTGTCATATTTTATAGCATATTCGGTGACAGAAGTTTCACTAATATTCCCTCAGAATTCTTTGCACTTATTTCTGATACATTCTTCCATTTAAATTTTGATTTGGTTTAAGATATAAAGTTTAACACCCTTGAAATTGTTTTGCTAGAATGTATGAATTAATTTTACAACACTGTGAATTTTAAACCACCAACTGACATATCCCAATGGCTAAAGGGGAGTCCTGACTAAGTTATAAAGTTTTTTGTTTTCATCATGTAGGTTCCCAGAGTTTCTTGTTTGGCTTATTTCTAGGTATTTTGTGTCACTGAGCTGTGATGTCACATTTGTGCTGCGGTTGGGATCTTTTTTCCTGGATGTTTTTCTAGGTGACAGGTAGCTACAAAGACTGATCAACTGATGTGACCAGAAGCTCACATAAGTGTTGCCCTCGCTTCTCTGCGTCCTTTTGAAATATTCATGCCTAATTAAAAAATCTCTTGGGTCATTACATGTTTCCTGCCATTTCACCAAAAACATTTTCTTGAGGATAAATAAGAACTCTTTTGTCTGATCATCAAATCTTTCATTTATGCTGATAATTTTGTGAAGTCCTCTAAATTTTCTAAGTTTCCCAGTGTTACTGACTGCAATAAAATAACATTATTTCCCCCTTTTGAATAGTTACAGGTTTAATTTCTTTTTCATGTCTTATTTCATTGTCCAGAATGTTCAAGCAATAAGCGATAGTCAGTAATAAAAGCCTGTGATGGGGAAGGGTTCAGACCAGGGACTTCGCAGTCAAAGGTCTGACTGAAATCACAGCTTGAGCTCTTCCTGGCTATTGGAGTGACTCAGCCATCTGTGACTGTTCATGACAACTGCCTTACAGAGTTATTTTAAAAATTAGCCTAACGCAGTGCCTGGAATAAACACTCAATTGACAATAATTAGAAGTATAATTATGGCAATGGTAAGTGGCTTGCATGGTCCTAAAGTTTCACTGGAAGGAGCTGCAAGTTTAAGACAGACATTCTTTGGAATGACACGGAAATCTGTTCTGTGCCTGCTTTTTAAAGTTTATATAAGCAATGCCTGTCCCATTTTACTGAATGCCATGTTGTTAACTAAAATAGTTATTCTAGATACTAAATAAACAAAAAGATGCACTATATGAAGCTGAGATTCATCTTAAAGGTTACATTTTTCTCTAATGCTGGTTTTAAAATTCACACAAAAGTAAGACACACTTTCCCTCTTTCATCATCCACACTCATGTGCCAGCAGGGCCTCTCCTTCCCAACCCCACAGCTCTCCTCTGACTGATGCACACGCAAGCAAAGCCCCAGGGATTCCACCCAGGGGAGGTGGCCAGAGCAAGGTCCCCAGCCAGGCCAGAAGTGACATTCTCAAGAGGCAGGGCCTGGAACCGAGTGGAACAATGAAGGTGATGCTGAAAAGTCAGCCTGTGGGATTGCTCCAGAACAAAATTTCACACGGAAACAAAGAGAAGGGCAACCTGAGCAGAGCATGGTACAGGAAGAAATTGCCACGGGGTGGGCATCTCAAATCCCCCCAGGGTGGACACCTCAGGTCCCCACAGAGTGAGCAGAGGCCACTGTCACACCAGGAAACTGGGGTACAGGAAGATGGTCCAAGGACTCAATCCACAGTACCTGTTGTGTGTGTGGGTGGGTGGTGATGGGTGAAACAGAATTACACTAAAATCCAATTCAGTGGTGGGTGAATTTTCTACTGTACTATATTCAAACATTAGGGATGATATGAAAAACTGTGGCAGCTAAAGCAAAATTTGACCACAGATGCTATTAAGTTTAAAGAGAATAGTAAAATTATTATAGTTAATTTTTTTTTCAAAGATGATGGTCTTCTTTGGAGGACAGCTTGGCATCACAAATCAAGACATACGAAAGGGTTCAGGCTCCACAGGAGGGTCTGAGGATGATGAGGGTATATCTGTGTGTGTGTGTGTGTGTGTGTGTGTGTGTGTGTGTTATGCACAGAAAAAAAAAGACAGGCCACTAGGTAAAGTACACTGATGTGTTAAACATAGCTATTTCAAAAATTACGGATGGTTTGTTTCCTCCCAAAAGTTCTTTGTCTTTTTTGAATATCCTAAGAGTTTTTTCCCAAAGAGCCATGTATTATTTTACTGTTAATTAGTGGTATGTTAATAGAAAGATCACAAATAGAATAATAAATACTCCCAAGCTGTTTCACATAGAAGGCACAATAAAAAGCATATGTAGCTGGGTAGCCAAAAGTAATGAAGAGATAGAAACAGAGGAAGGGGAAACTCTCAGTAACAGGAGTGGTCCAACAGTGGAATGGATTGCTTCACATGAGGGTAAATTTTTGTGTACACCAAGACTGATATGAGCGCTGTTATGGCTTGGGCACAAAATGTGTATGGAAGGCTTACTGCCCAAGGCACAGGGTCCAGAGAAGCGGCTTTGGGGAAATGATCGGGCTGTGCTACAATCTCAGGAGACCAGGTTAATCAACTGCTAGTGCATAACCGAATGCCCTGTGGGCAGGTGGTGGAAACTAGGAGGTGGCCACACAGGATGAGCAGGTCACCAGGGACACACCCAGGAAGGGTGTGACTCATCCCTAGCTCTTCCTCCTCCACCACACACAGCCACTGCCATGATGCACTGCCTTACTCCAGGGCCAAAGTACTAGAGCCAGCCAATCATGGACAACCTCTGGAGCCTTGAGCCAAAACAAACCTTTCCTGTTTTAAACTGTTTTTCTCAGGTATTCTGCCACAGCAAAGGAGAGCTGACTCGTGACACAGGAACCACCTGTGTCCCCAGCACCTGCTGCCTACCTCACTGGGCTTTACATCCATCCACCATGAGGCAGATGTGACTCAGGCAGTCCCCAGGGCCAGTCACACCATGCCCTGGCCACACAGCAAGGATGGTATGGCAGCATCTCACAAGGCTTCCACCCACTGGAGGATCTTCACCCTTCATGATGCCTGGGCGAGGCCAGGTGGCCTGACAGACCACAGTCCAGTACAACGAAGGATGCCCTTAACACTGAGACTCGATCACAGCCTAGATAGAAGCTGCACTGTGCACAGGAAATGCTCTTGCTGAGCAGTCCCTCCATCTAGTTGTGGGTCATGGGCAAGCTACCAAACTTCTCTAGCTTTCGGGTGCCTCAACTATAAACAAGGGAAACACAGTTATCCTGAAGATGGAAGATCATTTATTTGTGATGTTTGGCAAAAGTAATTTTCCCTGTCTCCTATTACTGTTCTCTAAGAAAAGTATGATTTTGCAAACAGACATCGTGTGCATGTTTGTATGTCTGTGTCTGTGTGTGAGAGATATGTTTACATAACCCCATGCACATAACAGCCCTGTGCCTCGGTTTCCTATTTATAAAATGGGACAGTAACAGTCCAGATGTTCTGCAGTAATGAGGATCAAATAATCAGCATGATGCCCGGAAAAGCAAGCACATGTGTCTGTGGGGTGAAGAAGCACACAAACACACCTACTGTTAATTTCTTACCTTGACAAATGGAGTCACTTCTGACTTTGTTTTTCTGGCTCTGATTCACAAGGTTGCAGGAAGGTAACACCCATCTCGGGCTTGGGGAATGCTGTGGCCAAGGGGTCAGAGCAGATGCTGCACCCCCTGGGCTGCCTCTCTGCTGCTCTGGGGTTTGGCCAACCTAACACAGGGATGCAGGTCACAGGCCAGGTCTCAGCCCCTGAGGTGCAGCAGTGCTGAGCTGGGAGTCTCCTCCCCACTGCCCAGCCTCCACCCCCAGCCATGTCTCAGGGCTTCACACATACGTAAATAAATACATATAAACATACATACACCACACACAACATCTACACCACACACATACACTGAACATGCACATACAACACATACATACACATACCTCGTACTCACCTCACACATGCACACCTCCCTGGACGGGACATTTCTCCTACCTACTGAGGGCTTCGCTGAGTGGGAAGGGGCACCTGCCTTGTCTGCCCAGGGACCCCACAGCCTCCAGTCATCAAAGGGCACCCAAAAGTTCCCCTCTTGACTCCAGCACCCAGTGAGAGAGTCAAGCAGAGTCCGTCCAGGTTCAAAGCCAGGCTCCAAGGGACAGGACAGGAACAGGGGCGGGACACTCAGTGACAGGGGTGGTGACAAAGGATAACACACCTCAACCCACACATTCACACCCACCCTGAGCACAGACGTGGAGGTCTCCTTTGCATGAGCACTATGGGACAGTGCGATCTGTCCCCACACAGAGGAGCCCCCCGAACCGCTATCATTGCAGGGCCACATCTGGGTCTGACATTCATACTCAGCTGCCCCTGCCTTTCTGCTTTGAGCCTCTGTCCTGGTTTCCAGGTGCCATGTCCCTGGCCTCCTGCCTATCCTCCTCTGGTCCCCCACAGCCACTGTGGCTCTGCTAGTAGACCCCAGGCAGCATGCACAGCCTCCTCCCACACGCAGGCCTGTGGCATCTACTCCATCTCTGTGGATGACCCCCCAACTCTGTTCCGGGTCCATCATCACCTCCAAAAGTCTCCCTACCTGGTTGCTGCAGCTGGCCTGCTTCATGCCACCAAGTCTTCCTGGCTATGCCCTCCCAGAGGGGACAAGGTCAGCCCTGAGTCCTCTCCTGTCCTAGTCCCTATGTGCAGAGCTCCCTGTACCAGTCACCCAATCCCTGTTTCACTAGGCTGCTGCCCACCCCGTCTCCAGGCTCCAGCCACACTGCCCTACTAGTCTATTGAACACACCACGTTCTCCCACCACCCCAACCCAGGGCCTTTGCATATGCTCTGTCCTCTAACAAGAAAACTCTCCCCGCTCTTTACCCAGCTCACTCCTCAGCCATTCAGATTCAGTACCAATATCACTTTTCAGAATGCCTGTTTCTGAGCCCCCAGGGCTCATTCACACCATACCTGTGCTTCCCTGAAGGAGTGACAGTCACAGCTGCCCATGTGAGAGATGGCAGGGCAAGAATGGTAGAGCCATAAAGAGGAAGGAGATGACATCACCGCCTCAGAATAACAGTGTGTCAGCATCAGGACCCAAAAAGGGAAAATTCGAAAACACCCCGGTCACCTGATCCTCCTCCACTGCACAGGGAAAAAAGTCAAGAGCAGGAAGAATAACAGGGTGTGCTGCTGCCTGTGTCCTCCTCCCCTGCGCCCAGGCTGGTGCTGGGCGAGGCAGCAGGTAGGCTGAGTGTGCAGCCTTTGTCCTCCCTATATCCCAAGGGCCACAGCCCACAGAAGCCTGTTTCTGCTCCTCACTTCATAACCACCTGACTCAATTTCTCCATCTGTTCACCAACTAAGAAATGCAGCTGACAGGACACTTCTCCCTTCCATGGAGGATGCTGCAAGAAAGCAGGGCCTGTCTGGGCTATGAGCAGCATCTGCGAGGCTTCTATTTGGAGCCAAGGGCTTTGTGAAAGCTGCACAATTAGAGATGGAAGGATCAGTCCAAGACCAGCGTGATGCAGACGTGTGGCTGGGTGATCTCATGCTGTGAGCACCTGCTGGAGAGACTGGAGATGCCTGGGGACCCGAGAAGGCTTCCTGGAGGAGGCCACACCTGTGCCAACTCAAACAGACCTCAGCGGCCCCACGGCAGGAGCGAGCACAGTATAAAAGACACTCTTCCCAAAATATGCCTTTGACTGCTCCAGAATTTCTCAGCAGACTCAGGAGACTTCTTGCTTGTGTCCCACCCTGGAGCTTTCTGGCCCTTTACTCTAGCTGCAATCCCCCTCTTCAAATGCACCTGCTGTAAACAGCACTCAGCTCAGGTCCCTGCTCATAACAAGGGGCAAGTGTACAGACAGACAGAAACATCTGCATCCACAGCAGCCAGACCCATGCAAAAGCTCCCCCACCCCAAGCTGGGCTTCCCACTGTACAGGGGGAAGACTGCCCTTTCTTCAGCAGAGTGGCAGTGGGGTTTCAGGCTCATTCTAAAAGCAACACAAGCTGAAGATTTTGCAAGATTCACCACAATACAGAAAGCATGTCTGGCTTATGAAGCAGCATCCAGCTAGAGACAATTTCACATTTCAAACACAGACATATTGTGCAGAATTCCTATATCAAGGCATAGGCAGAAAAAATCTGGAAAATGGTGAAACTTGAGAGCAGTCAGATGAACAGAAGAGGAGGAAATGAAAAGACATCTTGTGCCTCCCACTCTTCCATGTGAATTCAGATAAGAAAAATATTGTTTGATCCTCATACCTTGATCTCCACACTGGGAAGAACAAATGACATGCAAACTTTCACAGTGCGGCCACATACGATATTTAATGAGCATTCAGATAAACAAAAAGCAAAAGGCTCTCTCCATGGGTGGGAGAGGAGGAGAGGCAGCCAACCAAGGAAAAGCAGTCTTCCCAACATCCAGCTCTCTCGGAACAATTTTCTTCCCAGAAAACACATCACATAACACAGCCCTACCTTCTCAGAAGGATTAAGCAAAGATCCTTCTTCCTTGTGACCAACACCTTCTTAGCAGAATCTGCTCTCCGAATAGAAGAAATGTCAGGAACCTCTGGGAGGAAATGTGGCTGCATTTGTATTCTGCTCAGAAAATGTCATCACAGATCTGTTTACCTTAACTGTGGACCATGATTCAGCCGTGACAACTGTCTTGCATACTGATCAATTTATTTGCAGCAAAATTTCCAGCATTAACTGCTTAGGTTCTGAAAACCCGTTTCTTGGATTTCCTGTGCAACCATAACAAATACATACTTGGAATATCTAGATTCTTACCAAAAGGTTTCCAGGAGAGACCAGGAAGGATTTTTCTTGACATGTACACAGGCAAGGTCCCTTCCACTTCTGGATGGGAGGCAGGACAGGCAGCTGCCCAAGGCTTTCTCAGGGGTTGGACTTTCACAGCATTGATGTACAGATCAATCGTTAGCCTGGGCGCCCTGGACCCTGGGCCCAGGTCGTGGCTAAGCCATAACCAGCTATGTGGCCCTGTCTATAATGATCCACCCCACAGGAGGCTGAGCCCAAGGCTCTGCAGTAGGACCGGAGGCAGCAGAATTGGGAAGGGGTGGCTGCTGAGTCCCAGAAAGGAGGCAGGGTCAGAAATACCTTCTTCACAACTGACTCCGAACTGGACAGCACCCTGGTAGCTGTCCAGAGCCCCTCCTGTTAAAGAACAGGCCCGTCCCAAGGCAGCCGGGGAAGAGAGACTCCTGCCTCAACCACTCCCCTTCTGTGCATACCAGTGCCTGGGCGCTAGACTCTGCCTTCCTTCACCACTGTGCTGAATGTTAAGAAAACAGGGAGCAGTGCAGACCCAGCAAGGAGAGGAAAGCAGCGGGCTCTGTGCAGGAGAGGTTGAGGTACTGTCCAAGGTACCGAGGTCCACGCGATCCCGTCTGGGAGAGCAGGAGCCAAAATCACGCCACATCTACCCACATGCTGTCTGGTGCTTGGGCCAGGCTACCAGCCTGACAGCCACTGACCACCAGAGTGGGGATGAGGGGTCATCAGTTACACAGAACACTGGCTGCAACACCTGGGCTGGAATCCTGGTGTCCTGAAGACAGATTGCCTCCAAAAAGGGTCAGAGAGAGCTTGGGCCAAAACCCAGTGTGGCTTCCAAGGACTGAGCCCAGGGAACCTGGAGCCCAGCAGGGCAGGGGAGGCCCCAGGAGAAGGGCAGATGTGGGTTGCTACTTGGAGGCTGTGTGAAGGGCTCCAAGGTCTGATTGCCCATATCTGAAAACAGAAGGACCTCAGGTAGAAGAGGTAGACCAGCACTACACGGAGGAGAACCTGCTCATAGAATAGAGCCTGGAGCCGGCAGGAGGAATAAGCTGTCTCCCAGCACATGGGGGGGTCCTCCCATGCCAAAGGGGACCCCAGTTCTCCATCATCACAGAGGCCTCTGCGCAGTGGCTAAGGGTGTTAAGGGAAGGGACAGAGAAGCAACCCAGAGCCAGAGTGAGCTGAGAAGAAACCAAAAGAACAAACATGTCTGACATAGAAAAGCTGCTAAACTACGAATGACTATGCAGGTAAAAATCATTCGCCCGCTAAATAAGATTCCAAAGAACAGTGGTACAGGGAAATGCTACGGGTGAGTTGACAGAGCAGGATGCAAATTCTTACCCAAACACATTTTTCAGGGATCTATCAACTCAGTTTCAACCGTCCTATCCACCCAAAATCTGTGGTGCAGTGTTAGTTTCTGAATGCAGGCCTCAGCCTGTGAAAGGACAAATGGTCAAACACCTATTTCAAGATCACTTATGGCAACCCATAATCATGACTCACGATCATAGGACACACAGGTCACCCTGACATCGTGCCATGTATATGTATGTAGATTATGCTTTGATTTGCTCAATCAGATGGGTCATAAATAAAAAAGCATCTTTGCAGGAATGAAATGTGCAATGATCCAGGGGCATATGGTGAAAGCTATTAATTATATGCACCAAAACTTATGTGCAAAAGCAGCTATTAAGAATTTTAACAAATAGTTATCTTTAAAAGGAGAAATAACACAAGTATTGAGAGAGAAGGCACTGACTTACTAGCTCTGCAAAGACTGCAAGATCCTTTCTAAGTCAAAACATGAATGGAGATTAATAATAATAATAATGGCCATCAGAGAATATCATAATTCCTATATTTGTAGAATTGTTTGGTACACTGGCCTTCACAACAATAAACAACACTTAGATTTAAATTTTTCTTTTTCTGTTTAGATCATGTATCTTTAAAGAAAACGTCTTATTTGGATTTTTCATATCCTTACAAAGATGAATTAATGGCCAATTGTGTCAAGTTTGTTGCCTCCAAAATAAGGCGCAAAACCTCCCAAGTTACACTACAACTACAACATCTACAGTAAATCATTGTCAACCCAGGCATGGTTAAGAAGACAAAGGCAGCAAAAGAAAAAAAAGAAGAAAGCCTTAAGGAAGTGACGGACTCCCCAATGTATCTTGTTCCCCGTGAAGGTCAGCTGCAAACGGGCATTTCTTTGTGTCACAGACTGTCACATGCAGAACACAGGAGCATCAGGTGGAACAGTGCCCAGACACAGCCACTGCTCACCCAGAAAGCAAGTTTTTACTGAGTACTACTAATAAACAGCAAAAAGATAGCAATACCTATGTCTGTTAAAATGTCAGATCTGCAATCAACAGTGATAACATTTGGCTTCAGTCTAAATCACAGCCAAACACTGACTTTGATGCTCCACACCAGCATTTAGTCAAACTGAATGAATTCTGATCCATGTTCTGATATATGGTCACACAGAGGAAGACTGTGTGTGCATGGGTGTATGTCTTGAGGTAAATATGTTAAAAATGGAACAAAGCCAGTATCTGCAAGTGAAGATCACATATGATTTTTATTTTCCATTTATTATTTTCCATTATCTCTAAGATTTTAAAACTTAAAATATGATGCTAATGATGGGGTAAGGGGAATGTGCAGATGGTGGACCTGAAAGTAATTGAGCGGTCCCAGATGCAGCCCTGGATGCAGGCTACTCAGAACTAGGAGGTGGGAGCCGGGGAGCAGTGCAGAAATCCAGTATGAGCAGGTATGAAGTCCAGTAGCAGCAGGGCTGTGCACCCTCAGGCAGAGCAGAAGGGGTGGTGCTGGGAGGGGAGGCAGGACTGGAAGGTGATGTAGCAGCCAAGTTCCAAAGATTGTGACCACATTTAGTGCCAGAACAACAGCAGCTGTGCACGGTAAACAACCTAGAATACTTAGGAAGCACAAAGAATAAGAGGATGAGACCAGATGAGATGAGAGATGGAGAAAGTGAGACTATCGCAAAGATAGGAGATTAGTCATTTGAGGTGGGGGACACACTGCCCGCAGCTCAGAAGACAAGGCAAGGGACAACTGCAGCCAGAGAAAATGTAGCGCCCTCTGGGAGTGACTCTGTGGATGTCTCAGCCACATCACGACTTTGTGATATCACTGGACAGTAACAGTCACTTCCCTCCCCACCAGGGCACCAGGCCCTGTGCACTGGGGAAGGA